ACTTAGCACTTTTGACATGTGAAGTGAAGCTATACCTTAGCTGCCTAAATCGCAGCCATTCTACCTCTGAGCCTGATTTCCTAGCCTTTGCCCAGGCCTTGTTTCTCTCATGAAGGAGACAGATAATTCAGCAGAAAACCAAGGATTGTCTCGTCCCTTCACTCTTAATTTACGCAGGGGTGCATGTCTATCTATAATTTCCATAGAACCAAGATAAAAATAAGACCATGCAGTTTCAACATCATCACACAGATCGATTTTTTCCCAATCAAAATCAAACAGATCATGTACAAAACCCTGCACCACAAAATGTTTTGTGTCTCTCTTACTGATAATGCAAGGTTTACCCTTTTGGATTTTTGTGTCCCTAATTGTGGCTACAACACAGTGATCACTCAAATCATTAGCAAAAAGTCCCACAGATGAGTATTTATGGGGAACATTAGTTAAGATGAGATCAATTAAGGAGGATTTATTTGGGAACTTAATGTTAGGGCGAGTAGGACTGTCAACAATCTGAGTAACATTCAATGCGATACAAAGGTTTTTAAAATCCTCTGATACTGTAGTTAACCAGTCCCAATTAAAATCACCAAGTAGCACTATTTCCTTGTAGTGAAGTTGAAATAAAAATGTTGCCAACGAAGACAAGGAGTCCTTGACAGCTGAGGGGGGTTATAACAGCCCACCACCATGACCTGTTGACCCTTTGCTACTTCGATATTTAAGGCTAAAAATTATAGTTGTTTACTGATAGATTTGGAAACCATCTTGGCTACACAAAACTTATTTTTCACATAAATAGCAACGCCACCACCTTTATTAGGTCGGTCGGTACAATATACACTGTAACCATTTAAGGATATGTCAGAGGCCAATATAGATTTATTTATCAAATCAAATCAAGGTTTATTTATAGAGCACATTTAAAAGCGATTTTTGGTCGGGCCAAAGTGCTGTACATGTAATAACTACAATCACATGAAAACACATTTCTATAAGCACAATAAAAGACAATAAATTACAACAGATATTTAAAAAGAAAACACAGGGAAAAGTCAGGAGTCGTGCTCCGCTCTGACTAAAAGGCCAGAGAGAAGAAGTGTGTATTTAGTTTTGATTTAAAAACCCCTAGGGTCTGGGCCGACCTCACATGGAGGGGCAGAGTGTTCCAGAGCCTCGGGCCAGCTGCTGCGAAGGCTCGGTGCCCTCGGGTTTTGAGCCTGGTCTTGGGCACTATCAGCAACAGCTGGTCAGCAGACCTTAAAGCTCTTGTTGGGGTGTAGCGCTGGAGGAGTTCAGCTATATAGGCCGGAGCCAGCCCATTTATGGCGCGTTTCCACTACACGGCCTCGCTCGGCCCCGCTCGGTATGGCTGGGCCTCGTTAGGACTGGCTCACTTTATGGCGCATTTCCATTACAGTTTAGGAACTGCAGTGTAGGCGGAGCCGTGACGTGATCTTCAATGAGAACCCCAGAAAAACAACACAGCCGTTAGCTGTTAGCACTCAGAGCTCACAGCTCCTCATATATGTTCAGAAACTAGACAAAAGTTAAACAAGTACAAACCACAGACTGCCTGTGTCATGGTGAATACAGTCGCTGCTTTATTTATGTCTGTATAGGCCGTTGTTGTGAGTGTGGACGGTCGGAGCATATACTGCGTTAGCTTAGCCAATCTCCATTTAGAAAACACGCATTTTAAAAGGTTTTTCGCCTGCTGTCTGTCTGCAGACTTGACAAAGCATTAATTCATGGTTTTTACTAACCGGTATCAGTATGTTGTTACTTCGGCATCATTTTGAAACGTGTATTACAATTAAATCACGGTCAAATATGTCCATCTTGTTGTAGTTGTAGCCCCCTTGCCAGCGATGCTCTCTCTAGTTTAGCATACTCAGCCCGACTCAGCCTCGTTGTCTCTGGCCCTAGACCCACGATTTTATGAGGCCAGAAAAACTGTGAATTAGGACCCGCCGGCCGGTACTAGGCCAAGTGGAAACGCAACCAAAGACGGGCCGCTGACGTCACAGCCCTCTTAAACCGTGCTCCGCGCTGTAGTGGAAACGCGCCATTAGTGCTTTAAAAACAAATAAAAGGAGTTTAAAATCAATTCGGAACCGAATTGGAAGCCAGTGCAGTGAGGCCAGAATTGGGGTGATGTGGTCACGCTTTTTGTGGCCAGTGAGTAGACGTGCAGCTGCGTTCTGGACTAGCTGCAGGCGTTTAATTGACGCCTGGTCCATACCCACGTACAGAGCGTTGCAGTAGTCCAACCTCGAGGTAACAAAGGCATTAATAACCCTTTCCAGGTCCTCAAATGATAAAAACGACTTAGTCTTGGCCAATAATCGTATTTTAAAAAAAGCAGGTTTTGACTACGCTGCTGACCTGCTTATCGAATTTAAAAGCGCTATTGAAGGTCACTCCAAGGTTCGTGACAGAGGGGAGGATATTATTTTTGAGGGAGCCCAGAATATCAACCTGGGAGGCTAGAGGTTGGGGTCCAAAAAAGATAACCTCAGTCTTGCTCTCATTGAGGTTGAGGAAATTTTGGCTCAGCCAGGATTTGATCTCTGCTAAGCAGTCCATCAATAGCTGTAATGAGTTAACATTTGAATTGAGTGGCAGATAGATCTGTACATCGTCGGCGTAGCAGTGTAAGGGGATGTTGTGTTTTGTGAGAATTGAACCTAGGGGCAGTATGTACAGTAGAAAAAGGATGGGGCCCAAAATCGAGCCTTGGGGAACCCCACAGGTAAGAGGGGCTATGGCTGAGGAGAAGGCACCTAGCTGCACTGAGAAGCTACGGTCTGTCAGGTAGGACCTGAACCATGCAAGGGCAGAGCCTGTGATGCCAGCGGACTGTTCAAGCCGTGACAACAGGATGCTATGGTCCACAGTGTCGAAGGCAGCTGTCAGGTCTAACAGCACCAAGACAGCTGGGCTACCTGAGTCGGCGGCTAGGAGCAGATCATTAAAAACTCTTAAAAGTTAAACATTTAGCCACGTTTCTGATAAGACAATGACATCAGCATCAGTCGAGCTCGCCCAAATGCGGACAAAATCTAGTAGGTAAAAGACTGCGCACATTTAAGTGAATGAATCCCAGCCCAGCCCTAGAATTAACTATTAGATGGTGCAGATACAAAAATGGCAGATTGGAGAAAACAGCTGATAATCCCGTAGGAAGGTGAACATAATAGAGCCAGCTTCACTGGTTAGATCAAAGGTATGGGGGTGCAGTGTATTGTGTATATTTACAACTCACAGCAGCATGGGAATATCAGATACATAATGCATAATGCATGTAGTAGGAAGTTCTTTATGCATACTAAGATGGCAACAGGATTTGAAAGCTTGAAAGCATGCTGTTACAGAAAATGGATGCCGAAACTTTGCAGAAGAGTCTTATGAGACCAATTTCAGTAGGCATTCATGGGGAAGGTAAGGCTAGACAGAGGAAAACAAATGGACTAAGGAGTACAAAACAGCCATGGATTTCACTTTGGGTCGTGTTTGTTAGAGTTGTTTGTAGTGAAAAGCTGTAATCTCTTAAATAGTTGGACAGAATGCTGATTTAACAGCTGATTAAAGAGAACTTTCATGCTATTATTTTGACTAATTAAATATTTTCTTTCATTCAAACTCCTTGTAGTTTAAAAAAAGTGGGATACTTTAGTATTTTCGGGGTGTTGTGGGCCTTTAAAACTCTCTGCTACAAAAGCATCACTGCACTCCAATTATTTCCAAAGGTTTGCACCATGCCACCACGTCTTTAACTGTCTCAAATATGTTGAGTTTCCTTTTTTATAATTTTTAATTTGCATTTATGAATTCTACAGTTAAACTGTGGAATACATAAATCAGATGTCAGATTTAAACTTTAAACAAAAATTAGGCTTTTTCCATCTTCAGCAAAAATAAAAGATAGTCTAATGGCTGAGAATTTATAGTAAAAATATGTGAGCGTATTTAAGAAAGAAATATAGATTACTACGAAACTTTGCAACATTTATCTTTCTTCTCACATGAATAGCTTTAGAAAGTAATCCAATAATGCATTACATAAGAAACAACATCCTAAAATCCCAACAAGGGATGTGACAGCTACTTTTTTAGCAAACAAAAACCACCTGTTGTTTTACGACTAATGAAGGTGTGGCCATGTGTGAAACGTGCAAATATGCAAATGAATAACCTGACACACACTCCTAAACACACCACCATATTATTTGGCTTTCAGTTTTCAATAAAACATTTATAATGCATTGGGATTCAACAGTAGCAAAGAACATACATGTGGTTCTACTGTATGAGTGAAGCTGACTGGTCATTTTCTGTCCTAGCGTTTAAAAAGCAAAAGCAAAAGACAACATTGGCTAAATGCAATAGCTTGGGTCATAGGTGTCCTGTTAACGTTAGCGTTGTAGAAACGTTTGAGTTATTTACAAGCCAAGCCTAACTGTCAAAAAATAAAAACCTGAAACACCAGAACACAAAGTTGTAGCCCGAAGACAAATTCAGTAACTTCTGCAAGGACACCCTCAGCCCGTTTCCATTAATTCACCTGTCAACTGAAGGAGCATTTCGACGTAGTAGACAAAATGTCAGCAACAGGTGCCTGCCAGCACAAGGAGCTTAATATATCTTTAAAACAACAAACAACACATGTACAAATGTCAATATATGTGTAGTTGAGAAAACAGGTCGTGTTTAATCGTTAATAAACGTTAAGCAACCGGTTGGGTGAGTTAATCCCACTCCCATGACCGCGGCCCGGTGCTTCAGTCTCTCCGCGTTCATAACACCGACACGAAAACTAACCGAAGCCCCTCGGTTGAGCAACACGTTTAATATCAGCTCGTCCTTTTAAAAAAGTTATTTGAAGTTAACTTTTCTGTCTGTATGAACTCACCTTGGGACTCGGGAGGAGATGCGTCGCTGCCATCCTGGTCCGCCATTTCTCCTGACGTCAGCTGAGAGGGATCTGGAACCCGAGGGACCTGCTGACAGGCCGGGACCCTCCCACGGACAGGTGGGGGACGACACAGCAGGATAAAACCTCATCTACAGGTAAAACAAACTCATAATATTGTGTTTTAATCACAAACTTGCTGTACGGTAAACTTTTACTGTTACTTTGTCTCAGTCATGCACACATTAACTTAATTCAGGTCCTTAATGCACCTTGTAAGGCAAGCCAATATTCACCTGTTATCGTGTAGTATGGATTTAGTTTTCTTGCTTAACTTGCCTAGAAGAAATTGGTTATTTTACGCGTGAGTAATTTCATTTTTCTGCTTGTAAACGGACTGCTTGATACACTTAAGAGGGGACAAGGTGTACAAGTGAAAGTATAAGGTCTAAGACCGGTCTGACATCTACTGGCAATGGTGGTGTATCAGTATGTCATTTCAAATTTGGCTTTTGACCTATTTTGGTATCAATGTAAGTTTGGCAAAATTATGAGTCATACTTAGTCAGCTTTTCGACATTTAATCATTCTTTGTATGTTTATTTATTTAGGCTACTTCAAATATGAGTCATATATATATGTTTGGGTCATATTATATGACCCAAACATAGAGCCTATAAAAAGGAAGAAGAGTAATACAAGGAGTATTAAGGACAACTCATCAGAAATGAACAAGAATCCACATGGTTTTACAGAACCTTGAACAACTTGGACAGAAAAGGTGTTTAAAAAAGACCATCCAGGGCAAGTAAACCCATTTATCCAAGTCGAACTAATAATACACACTGTTCTTGATGTCAAAACAGTTACAATGGATTACCCGGGACCTATTGCAAAATAGTTGCAGTATTTGAATAGTTCACTTGAATGCTTTGCACACCCACACAGGTGTTTTCAATACATCTGTCTAATTAGACCTGAAGTCATTTTGCAGTTGGGTTGAGCACAGGTGTTACTAATAACATTAACGATGGCTCTGTTTACAGTGAGCCAACATGCAAAATACCAGGAACCAAAACTGCAGCAGCTACTGTACATACAATTCAGCCATTAATCAATGTATAATAAACAGTGCCATTCCTACTAGGACCTATTAACACATCTCCCATAAAATAAGCAAATTTCTATGCATATGGTCCTGTCCCTTGAGCAACAAAGCAAACATGTGAGAGAAGGAGTTGTCAATCAAACACTATCTAATCAGGCAGTATAAAGGACACCTGTGTGGCCTGGCTATGGGTGTGTACAGGATTTAACACGTTATCTTGTCTTAATTCCTTCCTACTACTAAAGATAAAACCGCTCTCTGTTACAGCTTTACCCTGACAAATATAAAAATGCACTGCTGTAGTGACCTATCTAAAGAAAAACAGTCTCTGTTATAGCTTTGCATTTTATTGATTGATTAAAGTGGACCTATCATGCTATATTTGAATAATATAGTGTAGGACCATACCTATATAAGGCATATTTATACTTTTTTTTTTTCAAAATACAAAACAGATCATGCATTTTAGCCATGCCTCATTTCGCTCAATTTGCACTTTTTTAGCTCTGTTTTTGCAAGGGCTGATTCTGTGAGAACAGCACCACCTACAGGCCTGGCATATGTACTACAGCGTCTCCAGCGCTTTCGAACGGCAATTGCCGTGGCTGTCTCCTCCTGATTGGTGGAGTTGGCCCAATAGCCGTAGCGCCACCGTCCTGACGTCAGGACAGTGTTCAAATCTGGATCAGTTTTTATCAGATCCGTTGCAGCCCCTTTTTTTAGAGATTTGGGTATGGAGGAAAAAAAGAGAGGGTTGTGTTTTCTGACAATTGGTGAGTTCCCTGGAACACCGGGGACACATATTCATGTATAAAAGACATACAAAAGTGCATTTTGCATGATAGGTCCCCTTTAAGTATTATTTAGCTTCACAAGTAAGAGGTTTTTAAACCCAAAAAGCAACACTTAATCTTTAATCTGTATGAATTATTTAAATCAGCACATTTTGAGATGCATGATTTTTACTGGATAATGATCACAGACATTTTTTTTGTCAAAGCCAGTGGTTTTGAATTTGAAAACCATTCAATGTGTGACTGTTCTCCCATATGACCAGCAGAGGGAGCCCTCTTCTTACATTAATAATGTTTGACTCATCAAAACTCCACTAAATCCCTTTAAAGGGATTCAATACGTTTCTCATTAGGTTTTATTGATACATCACTAAGATATTAAAATCACAAGATTCATCTTATTACAGAGCTATTAAAACTGAAGTTTTGTGCATGAACATGATTAGCTTTGATTTATCTTCGATGTAACATTACAACAGATTTCATCAGTTAACTCAAATATGATGTTTGCCAAAAATGTCAATGAAAAACACAATGCAGGAATACAAATGGCCGTTTCACCTCACAGTTACCCTTTTACAAAGAAGCATTTCAATTAGGGGAAATGAGACATGAGACAAAAATCAACCAGTCCACTGTTATTTTAACTAACCCAGAGATATTTGAGCAAGGATTTACTGTTCCTGGCTGGATGTTTGCTAATCTCCGCTCATATCTCTGCTATTTGCCAGACTGTGCAGGCTTACCCCCCCTCTGGACCCCCAGTGAAATGGCTACGGATTGGTGGGAGGAAAACTGAAACCATGGCAACCAGCTGTTTGGCAATTCCTCTGATGGAGGAAGGGGAGGAAGAAGACATTGGCCTGGAAGGTAAAAACTCAGACACACACACTGACAGACAGAAAGACACACACACGTCTGGGCATCTCTGTGGGGGTCAGAGATAGATAGAATGAGAACATGCTGATTGCAAACTTTACTAATTCAGCTCTCCTGTAGTCATATTTAACCCAAGCCCTTTATTTTCTTACTTATTTTTATATCCAAATGCCCTCTAGGCAAAGCTACCCCCTGCTCCTCTTCTTTGCTGATTAGTGTCTGTGTTTTTCTTTTTTTTGGAGCCTGTGTGAGAATCAGACGTTGGTCGTGGGGTACAGGGTTCAGTCAGTAGGTGGTGGTTAAGCGTTCAGGGTCCCATGGGCACAATGAAAGCCTCCCCAAACTGTCTGTAATTGGTTCCCACAGGACAGGGATCTTGAGATTCAAAATCAATCCACACAATGAAAAGAAAATAAACACACTGAGTCTCTGCATGGAATATGAGTACTTACTTGCTGATCTGAAGTGAGGAGAGAGGAAGAACTTGTCTTTGCGTGACCTAAATGTGCTTCCAGGATTGGAAGTGAATGGATGTTTCCACTTTGGGATGCTGATCCTCTGGTTGATTAATGCTCAGGGCTCTTCTTACCAGAAGATGGTGCTGAGGAATAAGCAGATTGAGGAACTGATTGGTTTTGAGGACTTGCGGCCGCTTTGCTCTTCTCCGATTTATTTGGATTCATTTGCGTTGATTATGCGTGCGCTTGCATAAAACCCACAGTTCCGGCCTGCGGACATCAGAGTGGAGATCAGATAAGTTTCTAGATTAAGCAGGCTGGTTTAACAAGCAGTATCTTCAATACAGTGACAAACTGCATCTTTTTTTATCTAGAGGGATTTGGGATAATTCCCAGGAAACCCTCTCTACACAACATTATATATCCATTCATTAAATAAGGGATAATCAAAGTTGAACTCTTGGGGAAAGAAATAAGACATAATGCTTCTTGAGGATTCTGTATCTATGGTTTGAAAAGATTCGATTAACTGTCTCAGGCATCACAAGCATTACACCAAATAAAACATTTCTGAATACTGATTGGTGGGTCACGACTTTTAGCAAGCCCTGCCCAATTAGAACTAAGGTGCTGAAAACGGACAAAAACGTAGAAATCCCTGAAAAATAACCAAATTTTTTCCATCTTTATTCAAGTTGGGCCACATCAGAAGGAAGCTTGTTGGGAATATATTTCTTTAGAGTCTAAAAAACGGTCTACTTTAAACGGCTTTAAATTAAAGGAGGGTTATAAGAAATAGTCAAAACCATTATTGTTATAATGTTATAAACCTTATTGGAAAAACCTGTTATGTAAAAGTGAGAATGCGACATCTATTATTTTCTGTATGTAAAACAGTACTACATCCTTTAATCATGATTTACCTGTCGTTGCAATACTTCCGACAGCAATTAAAGGCAGCATAGCACCTTATTATGAGGTGCTGAACAAGTGTAGGACATCTAAGAGATAATGAGGTAAATAATGCATAACCTGCAAAAGATTAATTTAAAACCAGCTTGCAGAGACATGCTGCTGCGTTGATGATAGTAACACATCGGCACCGACAAAACAGTCATCTCATCAATAGAAAACACACATAAACAGATGTTGGTTTAGTGGTGAAATCACTTTAGCAATGCAAATAAAAAAATGAGGTGCCCATTTTCACGACTCCCATCTTGTTTTTCTTGCATATGATGCAAAATGAGAATGTGCTTGATTTTTTTTATTCATTCAGTCTTGTAAATGTTACATGATAGTGAAATCACACATACTCTGGCAATTATTAATGGAGCACATTGCAATGAAGGTTTATCATCGACTAACCCACATACTCAGTGAGTAAACAGAGAAAAAAGCAGACAACTTTATATGGTTATGACCCTGAATGCACCACTGAGTAGTCTGCCTCTGTCTTATCCTCATTTTACCTTTTAAACAGCAGACAGACGGGACCATCTCTCCATAGCAATCCATCACTTCTTTCATCGTCATTCATGTGGGACAAGTTACAGTTTATTTTTCACATTTCAAATCAAATAAAACTGAGTATAGGAATAACATTTGTGCCTTTTTATAATTGTGATTTTTTGTAAAGAAAATATTGGTCAGTCTTTTTTTGATTACTGTGATTAAATAATTATTTATGTTTAGATCAAGTAGCCTCTTTAATTATCTCTGTCTCTTCATAATTTACAAGAAACAGATGGCATAATTGAGAATGATCTGAACTCACCCCCTGCAGATAGACAGAACCACCAGGACTCCCCCATGTTGTCTATGCCTTGAGTACACACACACACACACACACACACACACACACACACACACACACACACACACACACACACACACACACACACACACACACACACACACACACACACACACACACACACACACACACACACACACACACACACACACACACACACACACACACACACACTCCCACTCAAACTAAATGCTGTATCTAGGTATGAGACCCTTTTACAGCAGACCGATCTCATTCCTCAGGATATGCTCAAAAAAAGGGCCAATCACAAGAGATAAAACAAACCTAAAATCCGGCAGTTCATAGACAAACAGGCTAGCAGACATATGACCCGTGTGTGACCAGAGTAAATAGTGCTATTAATTCTAAATCCCTGCCATTAATCCCTCCGGTGGTTATATTGGTGTTGTCTACACTGCTGTCTCAATAACAGCAGTGTTTACTGACATCCAGGCATTTATTGTGTTGGGAAGACTTAGTGCGCTGCTGATCTATAAAGCTTTACAGACTCAAGATAGGCTCTTCATGCGTCCCTGCTGAATATTGTCTACCAACTGTAGTATTTAACTAGGGATATTTACTCAAATGTTGTACTTAAGTTCAATTTTTCAGGTGCTTGTTCTGTAGAATGATGATGCGTTGCAAGTTGCAAAGGTCAATTATGAGTGTGTTCAAATCTTACCTACAATGTAGTTGATTTAGGAGCGGTTGACATGGCGTTTATAATAATGGCTGGCCAGCTTCTACTGAGTAGAATAAAAAAAGGGCCAAACCACTGCGTTGAGAACTTCTGGTATCAAAATCGGTATATAAAACTGTATATAAGGTAGGAAAAACTCGCTCAACCACAACAAAATACAGCAGTCAAATTCTGAATATGCAATGAATTTGGAATGTTATACTTTGAATTAAAGTAACAAGGGCAATTTCTTTGCGCAGAACAAATGCTTATACCTTTACACTAGACATTATACTAGAGCTTACATATTTGTACATACAGTTGATCCTACTTCTGTACATTTACATAATCAGGATTTTAACCGACAATGTACTTCTTCCACTACACACTATACTGAATAACATTTTCCACCCATCATACTGTACTACAAGTGATGACAGTAGCGACTGAGGTAAATTATAGTATGAAGTCTTTGAACTTCAAAGTGAACATGAACTTTAGACTCACTAAACCTGCCTCAGATGGCTGCACTAAAGCAATAACTGCTCGATCGGTCAACTTTGCTATGTGCATTGTAGTTGTAGTAGTAGTTGTAGTAGTAGTAGTAGTAGTAGTAGTAGTAGTAGTAGTAGTAGTAGTAGTAGTAGTAGTAGTAGTAGTAGTAGTAGTAGTAGTAGTAGTAGTAGTAGTAGTAGTAGTAGTAGTAGTAGTAGTAGTAGTAGTAGTAGTAGTAGTAGTAGTAGTAGTAGTAGTAGTAGTAGTAGTAGTAGTAGTAGTAGTAGTAGTAGTAGTAGTAGTAGTAGTAGGAGACCTTGAAATGGTTCATGTTGGCAACAAAGTCTGTGTGATATTGTACACACCTAAATCATTTTATGCTTGAAGAGCAAGAGTTGTAACATAGTGTCTGGAGAGCTGGAAAAATGAATGAGCTCAGTGTAGTGAAATTAAATAGATTTCCCACAAGAAGTAGTGCCGGTTTTGCCACACACACAAATGCAAGCTGTGTAAGTAGAACACATGCATGCGTGTTATATAGTATTTATAGAGTAGGGAACAGAGGTTGTTCCCAGGGATTCGTTTGTACTTAAAATTGAATCAAATATTAAGTAAGTGTCAAAAGCGTTAGAAATTACTCAATTTGGCGTAACTTGGTCTGGCCCAGTTTATAATGCACTTTGTTTATAGTAGTGTTCCTGTAGTTAAGGAGGAGAGTCCTGCATGCCATGTCCTCCTTACCCACAATGCAGCAGGTCTAGTGTGTAACGCAGTTCCGTGTCATGGGGGTGACAGAAGAATTCCCCCCCTCACTTCTCCTTCACTCTGTCTGGGTAAGTGGTGCTGTACGGCTGAGTAGACTGTCATGTGAATGAATGAGCCGACTATCACAGCGTGACTCGTCCGCCCAGCATTTGTCTGATGCTGCGGTGGGGTCCCACACTAGTGGAGACGAGATGGGATCTATCTTCCAGCAGAAGGGAACTGGGGGGGGGGGGGTGCTGCTGCTGGTGTCAAACCAATCGCTCAAGTCTCTCTTTAACGCCCCAGTCATTTACAGTGTCTGTCTTCCTTCTACTTTCAATCTGCTCCCCTCTCCCTCTCTCTCTGTGTCTCTGAAGTATTGGCATGATGGATCACTGCATCCACAAGGGAAAAGGGAAAAAATATAGTCAATTAGAAGAAGGGGGGGGGGGGGGCGGAGAGGATCATGAGACAAGATGACAGAATGAGGGAGGGGGATGGGGAAGATATGACATTTACAGTAGGGTCTGCCTGGCGTATTTCTATGGCATTGCTTGACTATTAACTAATAACAGCCCATAACGTTTCTTCACCCTTGCCAGTGTAATTTCATACAGTCATGCAATTAGCTCTCTTCTGTCAAACAGCTGTCTCTATTCGCATCAGTTTTGGTATTCTGAAGCAGCATGACCGACAGCGACTGAGCTGGTGTGAGATCTGCTGGTGTGCAGCCAGCTGACTGAACCCGGGCCCGCTGTTGGGGGGGGGTGCTCTAGTCCTTTACTATTCTCCTCGCATTCACCTTGCAGTCCCAATTATTCAAGGCAGCGTGCACGAGCGCTCCTTGTCAGCCATCCCCAGCTGTGAAAAGTGGGTCATGGAATTTAAAGGCACACGGCGCCTTGTTGCACTGCGCTCGCACCGCTTTGGCTTCTCTGGTCCTCCCGACATGCAGTAAGTGTGTGCAATTCGCTTTTCCTGCAGTGAAATCCACACGGCTGTTTTGGAATGTGTGTCAGCGAATCAGAAGGCATTCATTAGCACGTTCTCTGCGGCAATAAACACTGTGGCGCGTTCACCAAGTGTGTCTCTCTCTGTCTGGCTCCTCTGTAAACTGGCCTATATTCTTCCACGTGACTTCCCTTTGGAAATTAAATTACATGAGATTTTAATTTGCAGTGGGGTTGACTTGTTCTTTCACAGACCGGTGATCATGCAACTCAAAGTTTACAGTGGCCCTGTTAAATCTGAAATCCATGACCACTTTCTACCTAGCAACCATGTACAGTAGGCCAGTCCATATGGGGCTAGACATGCTGCAGAGAAAGGCTACTCACGCGCACATTGAGCAATAATGTCATACACTGATGAGCTCTTTACAGGATCAGACAGGGCTGTCCTACTAAACCACGGCCACATCGGGTGGCACTGAGAAGGAACACATTGGCAGCCATGATGCTCTAATATGCCCCTTGTGCAGAAACAGATGCAGAGGACCACACACACAAAGGGCACATCAGCTGGTCAAATTAGCTAGCTTAGCATAAAGACTGAAAAGTGAGGGAATTAAATAGTGTCCTTCTTTACAGCTGCAAAGAAGGTTATATTTACATTCTGGTTTGTTTGTTTAGGATAAGGGAAAACTACTGGGCTCATTTTTAAGAAACCTAATGAAAGGTGGTGTAGCAAGCAAGATCTGTGTCCCAAATTTCAAAAATGTCCCAAAATGGGATCAATAAAGAACTTCTTGTGAAATGTTGGATTGAATCAGAATCATGGGGTGGATGCATAAATTGCTTTTCCTTTTCTTTTACATTGATACCACTTTTCCTTGGCAAAGATCTGTGCCCTTCTAGTTACAGATTTTTGGATTTGTATGGATTATTGTTGTTTATTTAAGCGAGTATTTCGTCAGTTTTTGCATTTATTGACAGTACAGAAAATCGACTGGAAATGGGGAGAGAGATGGGTCAACGTCCAGCAAAGGGTTTTGGGTTGTATTTTTAAATATGGCTGCTACGGTAAATACTCAGCTTCAGTACATGGGATGCCCGCTCTTCCACCCGTTTCTTGTTTTTAGGCTAGGCTAAGCTAACCCATTGTAACTTGGCCTCACATTTTCAGCACAAACATGGGAGTGATGTTGCTCTTTTCATCTAACTCAAAGCAAACTATTGTTCTAAATAAAGTACAAACCACACTTCCTTTCCCTGTAAGAACGAAATTAATCCACACAGAGAAGGCATCTGTTTAAACAGTACAGAGTCCTTCTGCATTTTTATTATCAGCAAAAACAAACCACACACCACATTACATTTTAAAAACAAGAACGCTTATTGTGGATGTACAGAAAAACTGAATATTTTCGTCTTAATAATTATAATGAGAATAAAGGTATAAAAAGGAAAGTGTTTTATTTTGTGAAATTAAAAACCTTTGGGCCAACAAAATGTTCCCCTCTACATGCGACTTTAAAAATACATGCAAACGTAAAGCTTTCTAGTATGGAACACTTTCTAAATACTCTCCACATGAAATCCCATAAATTATAAAATATCAGCCTATTGCCCCTGAACTGTTTCTTAACAGGGAAAAGCCTATGGAGTACCTCGACATGAGTCCAAATGCATCGCAGTTGCTTATAATGGCTTCCTCTAACCTTTGCTTCCTTTCCATATATTTTGAATATATATATATTTGTATATATATATAATATCTGTATGTATATTTTCTATTTTGTATTTTGACATGTATATTTTATATTTTATTTTATATTTTATTTTATTTTATTTCTATTCTTGTATATTTTGTTTTATTGTAAAATGCCTTTTATGCTGCTGTAACAAAAACAATTTCCCAATTTGGGATCAATAAAGTACGATCTATCTATCTATCTATCTTGCCTTCAATTCACTCATCCAGAAACAAGTGATAATTTTCAAACACAACAACCGTTGCTATGTGAGTGCGCTGGACACCAATCCAGTCCAAATTGAGAGAAAGAAAAGCAAAGAGGAGGCCACTAAAGACTGAACGCACCCCATCAATAAAGACATACACTTCTCCCAGACACATTTCTCTGGCATCAAACGACAGTGAAAATGTGTTTTACACAACCAAAACCTGGGAAGAACATCTAAAAACAGCACCATTTTAAAATGTCCTGGATTCTCTCCAACGTGACCGTCACGTTGTTTCAACACAAGAAGTTCTACAAAGTCAGACATGGTATCTAAGTCAATAAAAGTATTTTTTGCTTGATTATAAGTTCATAATATCTATTCTCTTCATCAGTGTTTTCTCTCTGTTGTTAGCATGCAAGACGGGTGCTTTGCAAGTGTTATGTTAAAACCAATCATTGCCCTGCTTTGTCTTTGGCAGCTGAGGGTTTACAGTATAATACGGCAGATTCATGTCTGCGCCACTCTGCTCGGAAACACGATCGACTGCTCAGAAGTGAAATCGGGCCCTACCCCAAAACAGAGTCATGATTGTACCAGTGCGTACAGGTTAGTGAGTGTGTTGGTGTACATTGACAACAATAAATAACTAAATCCAGCACTTAAACCTTGGATTATACAATAAAAACCTATTTTCTGCAACCTGGAAAAACATTAAAAAAAAGAAAAGAATCTACGCCCTCTCGCAGATGTTTACAAACCCAACAAACAATCTCCAGGGAAACGCTGCATCACCCTAACGCTGCCATGATCTATGGCATTTAAGATGTAATACTCCCAGTTTTGGCACACCTTCCCTTACAGGACCTGACGAGTGTCAAAGTTTCAAGTTGTTTTCAGGTTATGACTCAACCATAATTGCCTTTTTAGGTTGTCAGTAGTTAAGGTTCTGTGTAGAGAAAAAGAGTGATTGGATCCTGAATTTCCTTAAAGGCAAATCACTATTAGTTAGCAGAGTTAAGTGAACCAGAGTGTAATAAAAAACAATGTATTAGCATTGTGCTTAAACCTAAATGACCAACTGATATGAATTCTGATCAACGGAAAACACCGTTATAAGTGAAAGGCTACCATCATACAGGTTTTGTAGTCTCACACAAAGAACTGCAACACCCATCATGCCTTTCTGTTGGGAAATGTACACGAGAACAGTGGGTAAAAAGCTGATTATTTTCACAATATTTTAGCCTTGCTTGCTAAAACGTCCCCACTCTTTCCAGAGTTTACACATCACAAAAGGACAGAACTGATGTATTAACGCCTTGTGCTGAAAATAAAACTACAGAGCTCCCTTATATCCGAAGCACTGAAAGAGTAAGGGTAAGCAGGGTGACTTTAAAATAGGACGAAACGGAAAACTGTTGAAGACCACATTTCAAATCACATGAACAATAAATGGCAACATACAGTATAAGTTACAGTAAAACACCTTAGTAAAAAAAATGACAATCTCGAAGCACTGTGTTTACATAGTGCTACAGCTAATTGCACACCTACTGCAGTACAAACATTTTGTTACCACGTCCCCTTTTGTTGGTGCTTTTAGTCTGTATTGCTGTTGGGATTACAGCGTTAGCTTGTAACATGGCTCTGAAATGTGGAATTGGGTGGTGTTCATGTTAAAGCACAGTTGCAGTTGTGGCATGTTCCAAGGCTTGACATTTTATTGTGGCTGTATATTAAACATGTCGGCTCTGTTTTGCTTATGTACCTTTTCAACAGTTAAATATAATAATACACCTTGTCATTCTACGTGATGGTGAAATGAAGTGCTATATGCATGGAGTTTATGGTGCATGTTTGCAAATTGCAGAATAGTTACAAATGCCGTTATGTTTAAGTATTTCTGTGGGATGACAGTCCATGTTGAGTGGGTTAAGTAGGTGGAGCTGAGATGACGCCGTTTATGGTGGATTTATGGTGGATTTCACAGCCATTATAGGCCCTTCTTGGTTGGCGCACTGAGTTTTCTCATTCCCCTTATCCTGGCCAGCAGATCACGGACAAAGTCCTGCAAGGGAGAGAAGAAAACAGTCATTCACACACAAAAGGAAATATACAATTAAAAAATAAATTCCTAATACAGTAGTTAAAGATGCATTAATGATCAGACAGGACTATTACATGCTCACAGTAAAGAAGAGGATAAGGATTTGAATCTTTAGATCTTTACAATCTACAGTATCCTCTGTTTCTATTATAGTTTGCAAGCTAAAGTTGGCAAACATGTCCTTCCTTTAAATATGAGTGCATCAATTATCAGCAAAAGTTTTTATTTTTTATTTTTAAATAGTTACATTTTTTGAAGTAAACTCCTTGGCTTTCTTGTCAATAAATTGGGCGAGAAGATTGATACCACTCATGTCTCCGCACTGAAGCTAGAGCAGCTTGTTAGCGTAGAATAGCATAAAGAGTGGAAACACAGTGAGACTGCTGGTCTTTTAAATGCATAAGTGCACCTTTTTCTAACACTGCTCTCTTTTTTTCTTTCCACCTCCCTCCATCACTTCCTACTTTTTTGTCACATTTCTCTCCATTGCTTCTGTCTTTCACTGTTCATCCCCAGCTGATGCCTTCTTTTGGGGATTGTGTTCAAAATGGCATATGTGCTATACTCCATTGTCAAGGGATTACAATGTGTGTGTAAGTGTGACACTGGTTTGACACTTTGAGAGGCTTTCTATACTAGTGACCTGAATGTCATTGTCACAACTCAATCATTTACCCCACACATACATGTGGGACACAATGCTTGAGCTTTTTATTGTGTGACAGACACACTGAACATACTCACCCCTGTTGGTTTGTAGCAGTCTATTAACGATACCTGTGCAAAAGGAAGAAAAGGAAAACATTTGAACAAGAGTGACAGCTCTCTGACTTTTCATTCTTTATTCACCACCCTCTCTACATCGGTTTTGTAAGTGGTTGGTGAGCATGTTGTTGGGCTATGGTACCAGTCAGTCAGAATCCAACAACATTTGAATTACAATGGGGTTAGCCAAAAATAGATATAGGTACAATAGACATAAAACGTAAAAGAGACATAAGACAAACAATCCCCATGTGTCTATACCTGTAGTTTGGTGGCCCTCTCGTCGTCACTGGTGACATCCAACAGCTCATCTATGTCTATCTCTACCTCCGGCATCTCTTCTTCCTAAAACACAGAAACAGTCTTGGTTAGTGAGGAAGGCAGTGCCATGAAACCAAAAAAAGAAAAGAGGCAAACAGGAAATATGAATTTGAAACAAAGCCTTTACTAAAACCAACCCCAATCACACACTTTCTCTCATTATCAGTTCTTTCATTTCATCTCTGTATTCAAATCAGTGTTTCCACGTCCCTGCACTCTGAGCTCCAAGCAGCCTGAACATATATTTGCCTATTAGGAGCAGGTATCATATGGAAATGTCATTGTGGTATATCACGTTGTCGGGCTGGGCCATTTAGTGGTTTGGTGGTTGGAGGCTGTTTTCAGCTCAACGCCACTTCAAAGGTCCTGTGTTTATCCGGTTCTTTTCATTTAACCACAAGGCTTGTGCAAAAGGGGCACGAAGGGCGGATCAACCCTTTCCTCCCAGCTACCACATGACGTATCTTCCAAACTCTCCCTTCTAGGTATTAGAGCTAAAGAAAAAGCAAGTGTAGTTTTTTTTTTTGTGTTGTGGCCTTTACCAACAGCTGAACTGCTCAGTAACAACATACTGCATGATTGAAGCAAATGCTATCCCATCCCAACATCATTCGGGAAAACATCAATATTAGACGATTCCGTTCCTCACCAATTATGTTGAATGCCAACATTCATTGTCAATACAGGAAATGGTATGCCTTTCTTCTGAGGGACAAATGGGACTCTCGTAGAACACCGTTTGTGAAACGTTGCAAAACCTCCTACAGTGTCACATAAAATATGGCCTTTTTTGCCTAATCTTAACCATGCCTAAGGCATTTGCCATAACCATTTTGGTTTTGAAAAGCAAGAATCGCAGGCCGCAGGATAGCTCAGTGGTTACAGCTGGCAGCCTACTGTATATGAGGTCACCGCCGCCTAGTAAGCCACTTCGAATCCTGTCCGGCCGAACATTTCAGGCAAGTCCTCCCCTCTGTCTCCCCCCTTCAACTCTAAAATCTCCAAAAAAGGCCCTCTGTCCCAAAAATACCTTGTCAAAAAAGCTAGAGTGATATAAATGTTAGCATTGGTCTTCAATAATTAATTTATTCTAGGGTTTTGTAGAACTGTCCAGTAAGGACGTTCTTGTCTTCCTGTCTCTTTAGCATCCCCTTCTACTGCATCGTAGTGCATCCTCTTGAACTAACTTCTATTCATCTTCTATCATCTTTTTCACACATTGTGTAGTTTGGATAATCCCACTGAGCATCACACATCCAACTCTTTGGCTATTTGTGGCATTCGTCGCTATCAGCTCACTGATTTGGCCAATCGGTTGATTCATAATGGCTCTCACCAACCTTTGACCAGAAATCAAACCAGCCGTGTCTGGAAAATAACTGCACAACAGTTGATTGATCAATGAGCAGAAAAAAAACAATGGCTGATGATTAGCTGATCATGTATATAATGTTGTTGTTAGTGTTTGGGTGTTTCTCATGCCAAAAACGGGTTAAAAGTTCTCTAAAACGACTACATGAAAAAATACCTTACATGAGAAAAATTCTCTTTTAGATTGAACGCTCTTGTTGGGCAGCAAACTAGACTTTAATACCTTTTTCTATCACATCCCCTTTCCCTTTGTCCACGATGCTACAACACTGAAACAGTTTTTAAAGTGTGCTGTGTATGTGTGAGCGTTTATGTTTCTCTCAGAGGACTCCTTCATGCTTTCGCCTGGAGCGTGCACTGATATTCAGACACAGGGACGGGGAGGATGGAGAGAAGATTTGATTTGAGCTCTCGGCATTAAATCTCAGTCACTGTGATTTCACTTTTCGCGTGGGTGGATGTGCACAGAATACAATTAGCTCACAATTATACCTTTGAAATACGATACCAAATGTAGCACACGTAGCATGTAGGCTCTATGTTTGAAGGCATGACTACAGATGAATTGCAACTGGAGTTTTCATATAAATCATTAACGTTGATGATGACCATATACAACAGATGTATAAGGCCCATGTAAACACATACCTAACTTTAAAAATCCTACTTGACATCAGTGACACCTCATTTGCATTCATTAGCATTTGTTCATACCCACACTCGCTCATAAGGCTACCCCACCATCATCCTCATTCCTGAGCTGTTAAGAGGCATTTACACGGCGTGCATTTTAAGCATCTCCCTAAAGTCAACTGTACACTCCAACCTCTTCTTCTCAAATCTCTCTCCGCGTCTTAGCGAGAGGGTCTCGCTCTGAAGTCCCCCCTCGTTAAGAAAACAGACAAGAAAGGCGGATAAATGTGGCAAAACGTATGAAAGCCGTTCATTTATTAGTATCGAAATGTGTCCGCTATGGAACCAGGAGGACTGAGGTTATATGCAAATGCATGTCAGGCGTTTTTTCAAAATGCAGGAGAGATAACTGGTTGGATGCTGTTGCTATGTGAAATTCTCATTTTCTACTTTTTGTGGTACACTGTACTGTCCTGCAAAACTAAAATGCAGTGAGTACTGTATGATATTCTGTAATACCATATAAAATGGTACGCCACAAATCATTGTAGCTAGAACAACAACAACATAGAGTTAAAAACAAAGCTGCAGTGACTGCACGTTGGCAAGGCTAGCTGGTGGTATTACCGGATTCTATATTTAAAGAATGCATTTTGATGCTCCAAACTTTAAGTGATGGAGTCTGTTAAACCAAATAATAAGAAGGTAATACAAAAATATATATTTAAATCCTTTTCAATGATAGCTGAGTAGCTGTATTTAAGATGTCCGTTTTAGATTTGATAAAGGGCAATATCTACCTTTTTTATAGGTTTTCATGTCCATGTATATCAGAGTCTTCGAAGTCAACTGCTTCCTCTGCAGTAGCTTCTGTTTTTTATTCAGTATATGTCTAGAAAATCCTCCAACATTGGGGTGACTAAGTATAAATACTCAAAGATGGCCAAGCTAAAATAATCTCTATTTAGGAAACACACGGACAAAAATTGATGGACGAGGCTGAGCAGGTGTCATGCCCTTATGACAGATGAAACCCATTATATGTCCAAACTAGAATTTCAAGAACGAATGGTAACAGATGACTGCGCCTTCTTCAAAGGTCAGCTTGTCTACAACTGACAGCAGCTACCTGTCAGTTCTGAAATGTGAGCAGGGCACAGAGATCATGGACTGGGTCAACAATGCAAAAAAATAGATACAAGTTGCATAAAAAATGGACAGAGAGTGGCGTCCTGCTAGCATAGAACTCTGATGAGTTCCACAGGCTACTGAGAAAAGATTCAACCTAATAATATAGATGAATAAGTGAATTAGAATGAGTAACAGTCAAGTGAAAGCTTGTCAAGAGAGTGAATTTAACTCTATTGTAGCGTGGTAATCCCTCAGACTGACGTGTGTGTGTGTGTGTGTGTGTGTGTGTCTGTGTGTGTGTGTGCCCATTCCTCCTGTCAGTAGGCAGAATGTCACTGTGATTGGTGATGACTAGGGCAAGTATGGGCTGTGTGTGTGAGGCATGACTGCAGGCAATCGCCAACGACGTGCAAATCCTCCCCCCACACACTCAACTTTTTGCCACCATCAATCAGAGAAACGCTCACCACAGGGCTTTGTCTCTCTGTGGAGATTGAGAGAAAGTAGTGCGTGAAATACACTGCATGCAATGACAAGAATTTCAACACTCGTGCACGTTTGCACACTTAAATTGTAGATAAACGGTAAACTTGCCGCCGTGCTGGTGATTGAAAAGCTGAAATAGTTGAGGTCACACCCAATGCCCTCTGGGAAAATTATTTTTCATCTTGCCAGAAGTTGAAGGGTGACAAAATGACAGCGGGCAATGCCAGGAGACATAAAGGGAGAGGCAATACACACACATCCACACACTCTTAAAAACAACATCAGATTGTGTTAGACGGTAGATAGAAAGATCCCTGCAGCTCATACAGAAGCTCATCCTACAAATATATATTGTATGGGAGATAGAGCCAGGTATTCCTCCACTAAATAAAATGCTGTTGTTATTTCTAAGATATGATCTCAAGCAGCATAAACCACAAAAGTATACTCTAGACAGAAATGAAGTCGTAGTAGATGGCCACTGTCATTTGCAAACTATTTTCAAATTATTCTTGTACTTTTGAGTTTGCTGGACATTAACGACAACAAATTAAATACAATTAAGGAAGATAATGAAAAACAACTAAGTACTGCAAAAAATAGGGTATTCACAGGTAGAGAAAGTTGTAAAAAATGTGGAGAAGCTGTAACAAAGAAAACAAATGCATGATTCTTTTTGTTTAGTTAGCTAAATTACAACATAACACATTGTTACCTCGCTGCATGTGCATATTTTCAGCAATATATTAGTGAACATTTTGTGTATTAAATACCATAAAAGGGCACTGGCAACGTTATGTGTATTGTTTACAATTTAATAGTGTAAAATCAGGATGGAATAGGATTTTTGGTGTGTTAAAAGAGACGAATAGAGGGCAACTGTGTTTGTTTTCTTAAGCAGAAGAAAGACAGAGATGAAAAGACTTAGTGTGTATCCTATGTGTAGAAGACTGTGCGCAAAAGATAACAAGGAGCGGAGTGTTTGTTGTAAAGAAGGATACTTTGAGTCGACTTTGTGAGAGAGCCAGCAGCGAGACAGGCCAGCCAGTGTGTTTGTTTTTCTGTTAGTGCAGAGAAAGTGTGTGCATGTGTGTCACACTTGTTTTCACCGACAGCTAAGCAGCCAGCAGGCCTTTCAGTCTGGTTTGTCTGTGGTGAGGTGAATCAAAACTAATGTGAGCGGGCCGGCCCCGTGACTCACCACAAACTCCATTCAGACTCTATTCAAACACTCTCTCCTCGAACAAAGAGTCAAACTCCTTGTGACAGGGCATCACTTCACTCAGAAAAGTGATTCATCATTATTCCCATTCATAGTCTAATTACGTGAACGAGAACTACCAGTTGTATTGAACAGCGAAGGGTTAATTGCTAATGCCACTTATACTGTATAAAGTAGAAAG